GATCATGATCCTGGAGTCCCTGGATCGAGTCCCGCATCGGGCTCCCTGCTCGGCGGGGAGTCTGCTTCTCCCTCTGACCTTCCCCCATCTCATGCTCTCTCTCTCTCATTCTATCAAATAAATAAATAAATAAAATCTTTAAAAAAAAAAAAAAAAGATAAAAGTTTCTTAAGGGCTATGAATTTTTGCTATGTCTACTTGAATGCAAGTACTCAGGCTACTTGAAGAAAAGAGCAAAACAAGAGTTTTCAACATGGAATATTAGTTGTTGAAAAAAAAAAGACTACTCCAACATGAATTAATACTGCTGTGGTCAGATAGAGACAGTTTAAGGATAAAAGAGAAATTCATATTGAACCTTGACTGCTCAAATACATTTCAATATGTAAGGGAAAAAAAAATCACAACAGCTAAACATAGAAATTCCTTACGACTATCCTCAGAAAAGCACAGAAAGCATATGAAGGAGATTACCTATCCTAACAGAAAAAGGCTACAGAAGCTTAAAGCAGCACAAGGGAAATTCATACTGGTATCAAGAAGCTCCAGGTCCTACATGTCAATAATACTCATTATGAAAGCTGTTCTCAACTGGATGGATAATTTTATCTATACAAGGTTAAAATCCAGCCTAATAATAATAGAATAATACACCACTTAACTACTTAAGTTAAGAAACTTAACTACTGGTTTACAAACAACACCCTTACAATTTGAGAGCTCATCTTACAATTCAAATACCAAACACCTACGAAAAGTATCTGGTCTGAATCTAACTTAAATTGTCTAATAAAAGAGACAGAAAAATCACCTAAAGGTTAGGGGAAAAAATCTAGTTATTAATATTTTCTAACACAGCAAACACATGAAAACTGGCATCAAGTGAGCATTAGTTACAACTATGCAACCTCAATTTATTTAAAATAACTTAATCCTCATATTTTAAAGTATATTTAATTTCTAAACATAACTGCAAACAAAAGAAAATGTTTTGATATGCTCCACTGTGAGAAAAATATTCTAGTCAAATTATTTTTATAGTAGCATTTTTAATTAAGTGTATCGTGATTTTGTTCCAAGGCAGGCTTTTTTTTCTTTGCCCTCTCAGCTTACCTAACATTTTCTGCTTTATTCACAACCAAAGATTAAAATTTCAACCTAGCAACAACGGCTTATCAATATTGCCTTAAAACATCCACTACTATAATTCTGAACAAAATGAAATGCAAGTTATATACTTTAGGGATCTTTGTATCAAAGGCAAAAAGAAATATGTAATTATTAAATTAAAAAACGTGTGTGTGTGTATGTGTGTGTGTATATACTTACGCTAATGTCATTAAGAACATTAGATGCCTGTTCATGCTTTAGATTTCCTTTAATGACATGGTATGATAACTCATAAAGAGCCTGCTGGAAATCTGTTGAACATAAAAGAAAGAGTGTAAGAACACAATCTCTTGAACATAAAAGGTAGACCCTTCTGAGGGAAGACCTCTGTATTTCCTACTTCTCAGAATTATAAGGATCAAAAATAAGAAAAATATACTTCTAATGCTTTTCTCTGACAGATTTTTTTCCCTTTTACTTTCACAAAAACACAACACTAAAAGTAGAAAATAGTTAACCTTGACTCCACTACTATAACATAACTACTGCTTAAACATTTCCTTCCAATCTTTTTCTACGTATCTACATGTTTTACATATTTGCATTCACAGTGTACATCATTTGGTATTCGGATTCCCCCACAAACACTTTTTAAAGTATTTTCTTATGCTACCAAAGTCTCCCAAATTATTTTCAGTGACTGCATGGAATTCCAGCAGGTGGATATAAACTAATTTAACCATTTCTCTCACCAGGATATTTCACAGCTTTGTCTACATATATTGGGATCATAGCCAATTCACTCGCAGGGCTACACTGACAACAGGTAAAGACTACCAGTCAATATAAAATCAAGTTGTATCCGTATCCTACTCTCGGAGAATGTCTCCCCAAATCTAGATCTTTTCGCCTATCAGAATTCAAACCAAAATAATTACATACATACATATGTAAAATGGCAGTTCTATGAGAACTGTCAACCACAGATAGTCTCATTCACTATTACCATAGCTTCCTTCCCTGGAGAAGGAATTCGGCCCGGGGAGGGGGGAGCTAATGGTCACATGACTACCTCCTTCGGGCCATATTTTTCTTTAGTCCTATACACTGAAAACTTTACCTCCTTCCTCTCATTAAAAGTAGAAAAACAACTGTATGGTGAGAGATGGTACCTATGCTTGTGGTGAGCACAGCATAATGTACAGTTATAGATTTGTTGAATTACTATGTTGTACACCTGAAACTAATTCATTATGTGCCGCCTATACTTCAATAATTAAAAAAAAAAAGTAGAAAAACAAGTAGCTCTAAAAACAGCTGTAAAATAAAGTAAATTTTCTTTCTGAAGGGAATCAAAAATCTTTCAGGGCAAAATAGCAAGTAAAACATCAAATATTTAAAAATCTTGTCCCTTAGTTTGACTACTCGTCACAAAAAAGGGATAGCATAGAAATCAAAACATACCAGTATCCCTTTAAACAACCTTATTTACAATTTTATTAATTTACAATTATTTTACAATGAAATAAATTTGTCCATTAAATTATTTGCTAAAGAAATATAGCCAGAGGGAGCCCGGGTGGCTCAGTCAGTTAAGCGTCTGCCTTCAGCTCAGGTCATGATCCCGGGGCCCTGGGACTGAGCCCCACGTCGGGCTCCCTGCCCAGTAGGGAGTCTGCTTCTCCCTCTCCCTCCCCCAACTTGTGCTCCCTCTCTCACTCTCTCTCTCAAATAAATCTTTAAAATTAAAAAATTTAAAAAAAAAAATACAGCCAGAGTATCCCAATTCCTAATGAAGAATTCATTATTAAACATATTCTATACCTTTTTCATAAATATGCCTTCATTATGCTTATAATAAACTATATAAAAGCTAAAATGCAAAGGAAAAAATTTCTATTTGTTAGTATGGTATAAATATGAGGTCAATTTCATGCTTTCAATTTCCATTAATAAAATGCTTTTACAACAAATAACACTCATTTTTAAAGTTATCCAGGGATACCTGGCTGGCTCAGTCAGTGGAGCATACAACTCTTGATCTCGGGGTTGTAGGTCCGAGCCCATCTTAGGTGTAGAGATTACTTAAAAATAAAATATTTAAAAAAATTAAAAACTAGGAATGCCTGGGTGGCTCAGTTGGTTAAGCATCCGATTTGATTTCGGCTCAGGTCATGATCTCAGGCTCATGGAATTGAGCCCCGCATCACATTGGGCTCCACATTCAGTGGGGAGTCTGCTTCTCTCCCTTGCTCTGCCCCTCCCCCCCTCAAGTGTGTGCTACCTCTAAAATAAATAAATAAAATTAAAGTTATCCAGATAACTTAGGGAAAAAAAAAAAAGCAATCACTCTTGGAAGGACAAAACAGCTGAACAACATAAACTAAATTCCCAGAAGAATATGGGCTCGGGCACCTGGGTGGCTCAGTTGGTTAAGCAACTGCCTTTGGCTCAGGTCATGATCCTGGAGTCCCGGGATCGAGTCCCGCATCGGGCTCCCTGCTCGGCGAGGAGCCTGCTTCTCCCTCTGACCCTCCCCCCTCTCATGTACTCTCTCTCATTCTCGCTCTCTCAAATGAATAAATAAATCTTTAAAAAAAAAAAAAGGAATATGGGCTCATAGGAGCTGAGGAAATTCTAATCTTAATCAGAGAAGGAGATTAAAACAAATAGCCCAGGTCATTTTGCTAACACTAAGTGACATGAAAACAATCACAATGTTATCCACAAAAGAGCAAAGGCAGTCCCCAATTCACATGTTTTTAAATGCCCATTTAAGTGGTTAGGAACATCTACTGTATTTTAGCCATAGAAACAGTAAGTGGTACTTTAAGACTACCAAGGCTAACCCCACAAAATTCTGTAAAATCTATACTAAAGTTGAAAAACATTACATTTACAACATGGAGAAAAACTTAGCAAACCTTATAATTATACACAAAAATAAATAAAAGATTTTATCTTAATGCTAACATTTCAGAAAAAGTAGGGTTTTTCCCTTGTTTATTTTTAGTATTCTCTACACCCAATGTGGGGCTCAAACTCATGACCTGGAAATCAAGAGTTGCATGTTCTTCCAACTAAGCCAGCCAGGCGCCCCTCAGAAAAAGTAGTTTTAAGGCCAGCCACAAGTAAAAGGGACTTCTAGAGATTCTTAGACATTCTTTGTGGGATTTGAACACTGAAGACACTAGTTCTTGGTTATGTCAGGACTACTCCTGTTTATCAGCCATCATTACAATATCATTTTATTGGGGGGAAGGGACTTATAAAAAGGAGTAGTGTGAGCAAAGGAAACTGGGAAGGGAGGGGCAGAAAGGGAAAGGGCTCAGGGAACACTACCCAAACTCAATCCCCCTAAGACAGAACAAAGGAAATTCTGAAGAAATGACATTTCAGTTAGCTTTCTGCATGGACTACCAACTGGAGCCCTTAGACCAAAGCTTGACTGTTGGCAGATACCAGCCAAAGAACGTATGTATTGAGGAAGCAGGCACAGGCAGGTGAAAGAGAGCATTGGCAATTACGTCAATGAGGCCACGCTCATAACTATTTTTGGTTTCATACATGAATCAGAACAACCATGCAAATTAACAATAATCCGGTAGTTATTAAAGATCCATACAGTCCCATTTAAAACTGAAGAGTAATCATCCTGTGTTACACTATTTAGTTTTCTGAAAATTCTTTCTCTTATTTTACCCACATAAGATTTCAATCACAGACAAGATCAAAGTTAACTAAGAAGTTATAAACTTCTTTTAAACTTAGGGAAGAAAAAAAGTTAAGTATCCAAGTGCTTTTGGGAAGGAGTCTTTCTTTACTTTCTTACAATTCTGGCAGTCAACTGACTTATTCAAAAGAAAAGGCATTATAACAACCTCAGAAATCTTTATGAAAGATCATGCAACTTTATAAGTAGGATAAATTGGAAAATAAGTGGGGGTGCGGCTAGGAATGTTAAGTCTTAAAACAGGTCTTACCCAAATGACAAAAAAAAAAAAAAAAAAGGCTCATTTGTTAAAAAAATGCTTCCACTCAAAAATTCAAATGTTCTTTAAAAATCTTAATCATATTAATATTTATTTTTTATAAAACAAAAGTAAATCTATAGAAAAACATTGTTTTTAATCTTCTATTCACAAAGGCATAATTTAAATAACTATAATGAATTTTTATTTAATCATTTTTTATTTAAAATAGATTAGTAGTTATAAATTATTTTTTCTAAATTGAAAAAACTGTTATGGGTTCTACCCTCAGCGAAAGCTACATATGAAAATGCTTTAACCTGGGCGCCTGGGTGGCTCAGTTGGTTAAGCGACTGCCTTCGGCTCAGGTCATGATCCTGGAGTCCCTGGATCGAGTCCCTCATCGGGCTCCCTGCTCGGCAGGGAGCCTGCTTCTCCCTCTGACCCTCCCCCCTCTCATGTGCTCTCTGTCTCTCTCATTCTCTCTGTCTCAAATA